TTCTTTGGTACCAGGGATAAAACTCAGGTCCTTGTGCTTGTGAGGCAGGTGGCAGAACCACTGAGCTAAATTCCCGGCACCAAGGTTCCTTTTGAATGTTTTGCTTATTTTTCTGTGATTTTCAGTTCTTACATCAGCAGATAATTTATATAACCAGAGACACAGCAGGGATGTGAACCCCTGTCCTGGACTCCTAAAGGCTCGCTGCAGCTCTCAGTCTCCACTGGTCAAACCACATCCACTGCCTCTCACTAATCTTAGTGGAAAACATTTTCAAGTTTCTTCTTTTTCTTTTTTAAACGGATTGAGAAAACAATAGCAGGTTAAAGAACACACAGCTAGAACATGCCAAATTCAATGCAGTACATGCACATGATAGCAGTACACAGACCACAGAAGCACTCAGCTCTCATTACCTTAAAGGTTTTCGAGGGGGTATAAAAGCCCCAAGCTCAGCACAGTGAGGAAGGAATAGCTGAGGAAAACATTGTATGACCTTATACAAGACAACCCTACAGAAAAATTAGTCTCCCCTGTTACAAAATAGCAGCATGGCAACAAAGGAGAAGTGCTGCTTCCTAACTGGTGAACACAGAGTGGCTGCTAAACCCCAGAGCTATAAATCAGTTCATCTTGAGTCATCCTTACAAACGGAACAATGACCACCTGGTACTATCTCCCTTTGCGGCTATAATTTCAGGCCAAATCTGTTGTGAAATTGGGCTGCCTGTACTATTGTTTATCACCTTCAGAAATGCATAAAAACCAGGGCAAACAGAGTGGACTGATCAACAGATAAAAGAAAAAGCCACACGGAAAATATGATCCTAGCCATAGTGCTAACTGGTGCAGCTTGCTTGTGGAGGGTACCGTCCTGTGCTTCCTTTAAAGTTTTGCAGACTTGCTGATGCTACTCTCATCCCTGTCCCTCAGAGGACAACCTGGGACACCAGGAAGGTAGATGGTCTAAGTCACATAGTGGGTGAGAGAAGGTGCTCAAAGGACAGGAACTTGGATATGCTTCTGTTATCTGAGTTTCAACCAGGCTGTGATGGGATGAATGGCTTCCTTAGATGAGACGGTGGGTTTTAGGGACACAGAGCAGAGACTGAGGTAGTGTTATCAACCCTACGTTCTGATCAACAGGACCCAAACATCTCACAACACCAAAGGTGAGATAAAGATTCCAAGACCCCAAGAGAAAGGACAGGCCCTGAAAATAGCACCAGATGCCAGATGACAAGAGACTGAGAGAAAGGGTCTTTCCTGTGAGTTCCACATCCTGTCCACACATGACACACACACCACGACCAAGACTTCTTCTGACATAGTCTTCTGCTTCCCAGACTTTCTTTGTGTTATGGTTTCTATCTAACGTCCCCATAAAGCCTCATGTACACATAGGTGGGGCTCTTTGGAGGTGGGTGGATCTAGGATTTGTGATAAGTGCATAGGCTTAGCATAGTTCTGAGTGTGGATAACAGAAGCACACCGCTGGGTGTGGGTGACACTAATCAATAGGCTTAGAGCCTGAGGGTATATAAAAGGGAAAGAGGGAAGGCAGGCTTGCTGCTGGCTACTGCTGTCTCCTGCCTGCTGTTCCATGGGCTGTTTCTCCTTTGATTCTCGTCTGCTATGCTTCCATGACTTGGAGGCAATCAAATAGAGATTGAAACCTCTATACACTGTGAGTCAAAATAAGCCTCTCCTCCTTGCCTTAATTTGTGGGTATTGGGTATTTTGTCCCAGCAATGAGAAAGTAACTAAGACAGATTTTGGTCCAGAGAAAGGGAGTCAATGCTGTGCTGTCACCTGACCATGTGGTTCGGAAGCGTTTTGGCCTGTGGAAAGAGTTTGGAAAGCTTTGGAGATGCCAGCTGAAGAAGCAGCCCTGGAATGCTGTACCTGAACTTGATGGGAAATTCCAGTCAGGCCTCAGGAGACCGGAACTCTGATAGATATGTGACTGGTAAAGCTGAGGCTCTGAAGTTTTCTGTTAGGAAGGAGGACTGAATTGGCTATTGGAATCCAGACCATGTGTGTTATGCTTTGGGATAAAATTTGTGTACATTTTGCTCATCTTCAGAGACTTTTCCTGAGACAGATTACCGGCAGCAGACTAATCCTGAGGAAGAACTTTCAAAGCAGTTTAACGTTGTGGCTGTGGCATGTCTACTGCTGGGGGGTTTTATCTAGGTCTGTGTTGAGAATCAAGAGCAAAGGGCCCAGCAGAATGATTTAAAATGTTTTGAATTTGGCCAGAAAGAAAGCTCCAGTGAAGTTACAGCCTGCAAATGTGGAGCACAAGAGAATTTGGCTGCTGAAAAGGAACAGGACACTAGAAAACACAGCCTCAGGATACAACAAGAACCAGCAGAACTCCAGCTTTTGCAGTCTCAAAAATGCAAAGGTGAAAGACTTGCTGTGAGAAAAGAGCCCCAGAGCAACATGTTCCAGAATGACGACAGTTCAGGGAACTTGCTCCTCAGGGTTAAGTTCACAGTGCTCAGCAAACCAGGCAATTAACACCTAATAGTCAAGAGAGAAGGAAGCCTGGCCACTGCTGCAGCTGATGACAGACCCTGCTGTCATCCACATGGTGCTGGTTCCAGGTGCATGCAGAATGCAAGAGTTGTGGGGTCAGGAAGGCATCCACCCAGATTTCGGAAGAAAACCTGAGAGGCCAGGCAGCGAGGCCCTGTGAGGGTAGTGTGTAAAGCCATGAGTGTGAAGCTGAAGGTGCAGTGAAGATCTCAGAAGGTTGGAGTAGCCAGAAACATGGATCATCTGAGGAAAGTTGCAAGGAGTGTGCAAAACTGGCTCAAGACAGAAGCCTTAGAAGCTACAATCTCCAACAGTGTAGTAGGGCTGGAGCCATCCAAACTTTCTGGAGTTCACATCCTGTCACAGATTTCTCTGGATGCTAAACATGGAAGTATGGGACTTAATATTTGCCCTACTGTGCTGGGTATCTTTCCAAAAGAATTAAAAGAACCATACCACAGTGATATATGCACACCCATGTTCACAGCAGCACAGTTTGTAATAGGTAAAACTTGGACACAGTCCAACTGCCCATCAAATGGCAACTGGATAAAGAAGATGTGGTTTTTCCTATAAAACGGAGTATTACTCAGCCAATAAAGAATGAGACACCAGAGTCATTTATAGGAAAAGGGATGCGTATTGAGGACAACTCTTAAGTGAAATAAATAGGACACACATGTAAATACCAGAATAGTTTCTCTGGTATGAAAAACTAAAGGTGTAAATAAGATTCAAATTGTATAACTGATAATGTGAAATAAGAAGAAAAGGGCTAAAAGTGTAGGGGAAGTGGGGCGGGTGGGGAAAGGAAACAAGGGAAAAGAAAAAGTATGAGAAAAGGAAAAAAGGGAAACAAAGTCTTTGTAAATAGGGCAAGGTGGAGGGGGTAAAGGGAGGGCAGGGATATGGGAAAAAATGAGGACCAAGATCTGTCATATAGAGGTACAAAATCCCAACGAGGAATGTAACGGTATGGCATACCCAAAAAATACCAATAAACTCAATGAAAAGAAATTTTTGCCCTGCTGGATTTTGGTCTTGCTTTGGTCCTATTCCTTTCTATCCTCCTAATTGGAATGGGAATCCCCCCACCTTGTACCAATGTATTTTGGAAGTGTTTAACTTTCTTTCATTTTTTACACGGGTTTGCAGCTAAGAGTTTCCCTTAAGCAGACTGGACTTGGACTTTTCAGCAATGTTGAAACCATTGGGACCTTGGCAACTCTTTAAGAGATGGACTTAATACCTTTTGCATAAAGAGATATGCACTGAGTTTATTGGGGACCAGGGGTGGAATGTTTTGGCTTGTATGTAGATGTCCTTCCAAAGCTTCATGTGCTCTTAGGTGGGGCTTTTTGGAGCTGGTTGGATCCAAGGTACGTGGATACTGGGATCAAGAGTGCACTGTTCTGAATTAGTCTACTGATTGATTCATTTAGTATCATTCCGGGTGTGAATAATGGAAAGGCCCACCCTGGGTGGCACCACCCAAAAGGCTGGTGGCTTAGATGTGAAAGAAGTGAAAGGGAGGTTTGCTGCCTTCTGCCTGCCCTGCCATACACTATTCCTCCTTGATGATAGCCCTCTGTCACGCTGCCCTGCCTTGGAACCAGCTGACAATGGAATGAAACCTCTACAAACTGTGAGCTGAAATAATCTTTCTTCCTTTAGCTTTGGGCATTGGGTATTTTATCCCAACAACAAGAAAGTAACTAAGACACTCAGGAAGCTTCTGGAGATGAACTCCAGCAAAAAGAGAGGAAGAGGGAATATACTAGAAAAGCAGCAGACTATTTCCAGGGCAGAGAAAGGATTAAGACTCAGGAAGGAAGGGGCTTCCCTCCCTTAGGGATAGAGAGAATGGAAGAATGATGAATAAATGAAAAGATCAGACAATTACCAAATCTAGGTAAGTAAAAAAGCAGGAAGTATGCACACGGTAGTCTATTAAATTTAGCAAAAGAATTTACAGTTGTAATCAACATTATATAATTTCACAACCCATACTTAGATAGAATTAGACTGGTAGGAACACTATATTCTTTTCCATGCTAAGGGTACAGCAGCTAAGCTGACAGTTTTAGTCCTGACACTCCAGAACAATGATGTGGTTATCCTCAAGAGGTAACCCAGTGGACTGGTGGTTTTCATTCTAAGCCTTTTAATGCATTTGAGTTTTATATTAGTTTATGTATCAATTTGATAAATAAAATTTTAAAACCAAATAGACTTATTTACTCTAGAATATATCCTTTCCACCATCTGAGCAGACAGAGTTCGATAGAATACAACGAAAAGTCCATGAAACAGACCCAGATAGACAAGGACACATCTGACTTATCACTGTACATAATGAAGTACAGACCATGATAACACATTGGACAATGCCTGGCACCCCAAGGCCAGTCGCAGGCTGGGCCCTCCCTCCGCCCGTCCTCCCCTCCCTCCCTCACCTGGTACTGCGGATGCCTACAGCACTCCTCTCACTGGATGAGGTGGACCCAAGAGGTTGTTCCCTGTGGGCTCCCGGTGCCTAGCAGATAGACAAGGACCTTCACTCAGGTTTCTCTTCACCTCTGCTGTCTGTGACAAGGACACATCTGACATATCACTGTACATAATGAAGTACAGACCATGATAACACATTGGACAACGCCTGGCACCCCAAGGCCAGTCGCAGGCTGGGCCCTCCCTCCGTCCGTGCTCCCCTCCCTCCCTCACCTGGTACTGCGGATGCCCACAGCACTCCTCTCACTGGATGAGGTGGACCCAAGAGGTTGTTCCCTGTGGGCTCCCGGTGCCTTGGGCTTCCTGGGCCGAGGTGCCCTTTCCTGGTCATCATCCTGTTCTTCTGGCTTCTTCTTCTCGCTGTCACTCTCATCACTGCCTTCTCCAAGGATGTCATCAACCTGATAAACAGCCAATAGTCAGTGCGCTTCCAGCTTTGTGAAGGATCTATGTGACTCACACCTCCCTCCAGAAGGGATGACAGCAGCTTCCCACTGTCCCAACACAAGGGGGCTGTCAGGGCCACTCTGCCATGGGCCAGATGTGTACTTCTGCTTTCTACTGGAATGCTGTGGTCTGAAATGAAGCCAGGCCTGGCATCAAGGTAAAAGATGAGTGCACATGTGCAAAACACAGTGCAGCACACTTGCAGCCATAGAGTCCCTGGGGAGTGAGGATGACAGGGTCCTGGTCACAGGTTTCAATCCCTTCAGTGTGCTGTACCGATGGATTCCATGTAACAGGGTGTTTATTTAAATCCTTTTAAATCCATGAGAGCATGGTTTCCTACGAACAGAAAGGGTCCTCAATCCTTCAGTCTGTGTGTTCACATCTTCCTCTCCAATTTACCTCACATTTGGGATGCAAATGATGGAGAGGAAGCCAGGCCCCCCCATACCTAAGACAGGGCAGAGGGGAGTTAAGGAAGAGACAGGGACAGAGGACAGCGAAATAAAATGTGCAACAGATAAGAGAGAAAAGAGAGCCAGTGGGCTGATAATTTTGTGCCCAACACTGCCAAAGTCCCTCCCCGAACCCCAGCATCCAGAAAACAGGTGTATCGTGACCCTGGTATGCAGGTGGGCGAGAGCTCTGTGCATAGAGTGTGCGCAGAACCAGGGCTTGACCTTGGTACTCTGGACTCAGCACTCAAGCTCCCACCGCCTCTACTGCACTGTACGGAAATGGTGTGGTGCAGAAGGTGCAGAAAAGAAAAAGTACACAGCAGAGAGGACAAATTCAGCTATCTACTAGGGAAGGGAGGTTTATTTAGTATGTAGCACTGATGACATGGCTAGAAGGTCCTGTCCCTCAGGGAGATGGCTCCTATGTGGGCGAATCTCTCAGGGGCTCATCTTGAGAGCCCAGCTTTACTCCAAGCTTTCCCAGGCCATGGGCAGTGAGACAGCACAGCCACAGGGGCCCTGAGACAGGTAAGACAGCCAAAGAAGGATCTCCAAGAAACCTTCTCAATGGCTGTCCACTTGCAGAACACCCTAATCCAAAAAATGGTATCAAACATCCTTGCCAGCACCTATGTGTTGCTGACAGCTGAGCGAAGTGAGTACTAATTCTGTCTGCTGGCTGGAAGAGTCAGAGAAACACTTTGTACAGCCAAACCAAACTGCAGACACACACCAAGTGTGACCTTGTCTCGGTTGTGCTTATGTCTGCTCTCTTTCTTTACCTCTGACTCACTTAAAAGTATCTATTTGGGAATGAACCTATTTTTCTAAGGCTTTCACAAAAATAATTGTATCTTATGAAAAAATAGCTGTCTGTAATGAACTGTTTGCTTCATTAAAAGATACTAAGGATAATTTCTTTAAATATCAAGGAAAAACTTGAAAGTATATAAACAGAGAAAACAAAATTTAATTTATACTGAATTAAGTCCTAAGAGCTCTACCACTGCTTACTGGCCTTTTGGCTAAGATCAAGTGTAGGCTAAAATCTCTACCAAAGGGCAAATACTGATCAATGAAATGCTACTGAATCTTGTCAACACCTGGAATGTAAATGTTTCCATCAACCACACTGTAAAGAGAGAATTAATTTCATCAGAGCTTTTGACTTGGGCAAGTGAGGTAAAATGGCTTACAGAGAGAGCAGGGAAGGAAGAAGCAGAACGAGAAGGAGGTGGAAAGACACAATTTGAATGTAAGAAACAGAACAGACAAAAGCAGATTAGCTGAAAGGAGGCATGGGAGCTCACCAAGCTGTCCAGTCACAGGCTTCATTTTAGCTTGCAGCTCAGCAGTTTCCTTTTTTCCTACTTTCTCATTATCATATTATAGAGGGACTCTGACAGACTTGGGGACAGACTATCATTCTGGCCTTGCTGGCTGAGATCAGCAATGGGTGAAAGTGAGAAACACATGAATTAGGGCTCTACGTCAGCTGTCACAGGTGACAGGACACAGGACTGTCTTTAGAAAGCCATCGCTCACGTGAGCTGTAAGGAACAAATGTCTTCCTACTGTGACATCATATCATCTAAAAGTATTTGGAGCTAAGATAAATGTATTCAGCTTCTCAGCCAAAAGAACCGCTGTGGTCATTCTGATAATGAAACTAAAAGCATTTATAGATGCATCAGAATTAACTTTCTCAGACCCTGAAAACAGGAGAGCTGCAGAGAACCATACGGTCTCCAGTTTACCTATCCTTAAACTGCGATATTGCGGGCACCAGTCAATTCCTGACACATAGGACATGCCACTCACACTTCCTTTGAAGGCTAAGCTACAATTACTGCTACCTCTTGGAAAACCTCAAAGCACATTTTCATGACTGCTGAAACTGTGGGATCCCAGGCTGCAATCCTAACAAGTTCCAAATGCACTGTAAGTACTATTTCCTTGTCCTTCACTAGGTTGATTTCATCTTGGCCAGTAGGATCTTGTGCACTTTACACACACAACCCTGCCTGAACTGTTTGGGTGGGAAATACTTCTGTGGACACCACTTGTAGTGGGCTTTTCAAGAAGTGCCAGAAGCTATACTGAGTACAGGAGCCTGTGACTCCTCCAAGGACATCATGAGGGAGAGGGAGGATGTCCATCACTCCTGGGATGGGCCTTGCCTTGGCCTCATGGAAGGGACTTTCTCAAGGGTATCAGCTGTCACAGAAGGTACAGCCTTGACCCCTTGCTGCTGTGGGGACTATAGGAACTGCTCTGAGCCTAGTCCCTGGTCCCACAGCTGCAGGGCTGCCATGAACTGAGTGTAGCTTGAGAACCAGCAGAGGACCGCCACTCCCACCCTCCACCCCGCAACTCCCTATGCTGGAAGCAGAAGGACACAAAGCCAGGCTTGTTCTAAGTTGCTAAAGCTAAGGAAACTTGTTATGCAGCACAGAGAAATAATATAGTGACTAACAAGTATTTTGAAATGGAATGATATCAAGCGAGAAGATATTTTTTTGTGAAAAGAAAGCACTTCAAGGCCAAATAGAAACTTTAATGACAGGTGAAAAAAAGCCTCAAAATTGGAAAACAAACTTGAGGTATTCAGGAACTGCTTCTCAGTAGGATTTAGACTTTCACGCAGATGCTGGCTGTAGGCAGCACATATGTTCTGAAAATGACTTATGCAAATGACATGCTCTATAGCTCACCAAGAAGTTCTCTAAGTAGAGGGAGGAGGTGACAAATCTTATAAAACAAAAGATAACTATAATTTCTTTCTTGCATATAGATTTTCATATATAATAAAACTAACTCACTAAAACTTCAGTAATCAAAACTTTCAAGAAACATTCAGACCTTGAAGAGATATAAACATTTCTGCTAAATATTTATCAATTTAATAAAAGAAAAATCCAAATACCTGATCTAAGAATGCTCAGATCCCTTTTTTTTTTGAGACAGGGTCTTACTATGTAGCTCAGATGGCCCTGAACTCACTACAATTCTCCTGCCTCAGCCACTTGACCGTTAAGATCACAGGTATGCACCACCACGCCCTGCTAGGCTCACTTCTTAAAGTGGCTCAACAACCACTATTGATCAGCTAATACAGTATATAAAATAATTCATTTTTAAAGGATTTTGGTTAATCAGGGTAATTTGTAAGATCAGGTAACAGCTTGCGATTAAAACCACAAATTGACACAGAGAAAAAAACTGCTACTGTTTAGTAAGACGTAGTTCTCAAATATCACTAACATACATGTGTATGTTTTGAAAATAATCTTCAGGTTCATTAAAGCATACTGTCACCGAGAGGGGTTTGCCCCTTTAATTTATTCCAATCTATCATTAATTGCCATAAAGTATTTGGAAGAGGGTTTGATGTGTTAGGAGGTGACTAAAACATGGTTGGATAAATGGTAAATTCAGTAAAACATACACACTCAACAATTTTATCTTCAGAGTGTTACACAGGTATTAGGAAAGAAAGAATTCTTACTAGAAACGGCCAGTTCCTATTCAGTTCTTAATTCTCACCTAATTAGCACCCATCACCTTTCCAGGTTCCTTAACTGAAGGAGAAAAAGACTGCAGAAAAAAGCACAGTGGATGAGTGAGGAGGCAGCTTGCATGGGAGGCCACTCAGGGCCAGCACAGTCCTAGAAGAGCACTGGCCCCTGGCTCCAGACTACTCTCAAAGACTGCTGGTCCTTCCTTACAGGATGCCTGTTCTTCTGCTGAGTATCCTTTCCCAAGGCAGTTGTTTAAATACAAGGTTTATAGAAACAGACAAGTGGGAGGGCAGTGAAAGGAATGATGTTCGTGTCTCTATTTCATTGCTGATATTTTCAGGTATTATCAGACCGTAACAGTAAAGCTACTTGCTTCCTAAAACCAAAACGTGAAATTATGTGAGACACAAGAGTTCTCTGCCGCTGAGTTCCCTCCCAAAATGTAACTCTGGGGAGCCTGTAACCTGCACACGTCAGTGGATCTCCTGATTTCATCTGTGGGTTGTGAGCACTTTTCCCAAGACATTGTGAAACAAACTGGGCCACGAGGCAGAAGACTTGGGGCCGGCTCTGCTCAGTCCCTGTGCTGGCTCAGAATCCAAGACGCAAGCATAAACTGGTAAAGCTCCCCTGGTTAACCAAAAAAAAAGTTGAAGATAACACACCAAGAAAAGTTTCAAGCCGTCGTGAAAGCAAGCAGTTAAATTTTGGTAAATACTTCATTGTACATAAAATCTACACAAAATATACCAAATCCAAAATTGATATGATCTAATGCAGAAAAATGTATAGCCCTTCTCTCTGCAGTCTACACGAACAGAGGACTGTGTAACGCCACCTCCTGACCACCTCCGTTCTCTCCCTTGGGACAAGAAGTTGTCTTTCCCCCTGGGAATGCATCACATTCTCCTATTTCTCCAAGGACAACACTACACAGGCAACCAGTCTGGTGTGAGGAGACCGTAACAGTAAAGC